TTTCCGCGTGAGGCTGCAGCCGCGGCGTACGATCGCTACGTGCTCTCCCGTAAGACCCGTTCTTCTCGTTGCGCAAGTGGCTAAACTGTTCAGAGGGCGAACACGGGGAAGCGAGTATACAGGTGTGCGGGCGCACAAGGGTGCACGTGTACCAAGCCGCACTCCCTTTTGCCCAGGCCGTGCGAGCGTGTGCGGTGGCAGCGGAGTGGATTCTACTGCGCATGTGGGAGTGCGGTTCGGCGAGCAGGGCAGTGTGTGGGTTGGACCAACGCGTGGCAGACGGCCATCGATGCGACACCTCGGCTGCCCCCGCCCTGGCGCCCGCGGCGCCCGCGAGGCGCTCCATCGGCGCCCGCGTGCGGGCATCGAGGAAAACCTCGGCACACCCACCTGCGCCCAAGAGGCGCCCAAGGGGCGCCCACGGGCGCCCGGGGCGAAGCGCCCACGCGCGAGGCGCCCAAGGGCGCCCACGGCTGACCCACCCAGCGCACCAAACGCCCACGGGCGCCAACGTGCTGGCACCAGGCGGAGACGGAGACCGCGACGGCCACCGATGCTAGGGCACTTCGGTCGCCATCCACGCGCAGCCCCCGCGCGCGAGCCGCGGCGCCGCCGCCCAGCCCCTCGGTAAGGCTGTCCCGCGGGACGCGCAGGCGCAGCGTCCCGTGCCCAGTTCGGCGGCGCGCCCGGGGGGGAAGTGAGAGGGGGCAGGCCTTGTCCTCTCCCTCCACCTCCTCCTCCTTTTTTTCCTTCTCCTCCTCCTTCTTTTCCTTCTCCTTCTTCTCCTCCTCCTCTTTCTCCTCCTCCTCCTCCTCCTCCTCCTCCTCCTCTTTCTCCTCCTCCTCCTCTTTCTCCCTCCTCCTCCTCCTCCTCCTCCTCCTCCTCCTCCTCCTCCTCCTCCTCAGACGGCGCCGGGGCTTCCCAGAAGCCCTCCCGCCTTCTGAGGAGGCACCTCTCTCCTCGCAGAGGGCCCCGAAGGCTTCTCGGGGGGCCGAAGGCCTTCCGAGCTCTCCGAGGAGGCCCGCCCCCTCGGCAGCTCCCCCCGGGCTCGCCGCCGGCCAGTGCCCACGTGCCCGCGCGCGGCCGCGCCGCCGCACCGGGCAGGTCTACGCGCAGTGGGAGTCGCTGCTCGAGAAGGCACCCTCTGCCGCGCCGGGGCGCCGCACCTGCCACGGGATGGGGATGCTGCTGCTGCTGCTGCTGCTGCTGCCGCGGGATGGGGATGAGGATGAGGATCGGGATGCTGCTGATGCTGCTGCTGCTGCTGACGATGATGACGATGATGATGATGATGATGATGATGATGATGATGATGATGATGATGATGCTGATGCTGATGCTGATGCTGATGATGATGATGATGATGCTGATGCTGATGATGATGATGATGATATTGATGATGCTGCTGATGATGATTGTGATGGTGCTGATGATGATCATGCTGCTGATGATGGTTATGATGCTGATGCTGTTGATGATGATGCTGGTGATTGTGATGATGCTCATGATCATGATCCTGATGCTGCTGATGATGATGATGATGATGGTGATGGTGATAATGATGATGATGCTGCTGCTGATGATGATGCTGATGCTGATGCTGATGCTGATGATGATGATGATGATGATGATGATTATGATGATGATGATGATGATGATGATGATGATGATGATGATGATGATGATGATGATCATGATGATGATGATGATGATGATGATGATGATGATGGTGGTGATGGTGATGATGATGATGATGCTGATGATGATGATGTTGATGATGATGATGTTGATGATGCCGATGATGATGCTGCTGATGATGATGATATTGATGATGCTGGTGATGATGATTGTGATGGTGCTGATGATGATCATGCTGCTGATGATGGTTATGATGCTGATGCTGGTGATGATGATGCTGGTGATTGTGATGATGCTTATGATCATGATCCTGATGCTGATGCTGATGATGATGATGATGATGGTGATGGTGATAATGATGCTGATGATGATGCTGCTGCTGATGATGATGATGCTGATGCTGATGCTGATGCTGATGCTGATGCTGATGATGATGATGATGATGATGATGATGATGATGATCATGATGATGATGATGATGAATGATGATGATGATGATGATGAGATGATGAAGAATTATTTGATGATGCTGCTGCTGCTGATGATGAAGATGATGATGATGATGATGCTGATGATGATGATGATGATGATGATGATGATGATGAGGGGTAGGGTGGGGTTCACCTCGTTCGGGAGCTCACGAGTGAACCCCACCCTCCCCCGCAGAAATCGTGGGGGGTAGGGGTAGGGTTCGCATGCGGCCCCCTAGCAGCTCGATTCGACGCACATTCCGAGCGGACCCGATGCCCCGAATTCGATGCTGACTGGTCCTGCCCCTGGCACCTGGCGCTTCGACGAGCAACCGCGGCGGCCGTCTCGCCGCCGCCCCGGGCCTCTGGAGTTTCTGGCTCCAGCCGCGGGGCCGTGAATAGAGAACAGACGGCTCGGGGGCACGGGAGACTTCAGACCCTGGAGGATGCCTTATTTTATGAGGGCGGCGGTCATATCCATGGCCAAGCCTCGATTGGAGCTCCACCGGCCTCCAGACCCTTCATTCCTTATCTGAGGGTTCCTTATCCAATGCGTTCACCGTATGGTATGAGAGGAGGTCGGACGACGCGGGGACGGACTTGCCGGAGGTGATTGCGGCACGCTGTGCCGCTTCACCTGGTTTGTTCTTTCGTTTCACCCCCCCCCTCCCACCCAGCAGTTGGTGGTTGGGGCAGGATTGGTGGGCTTCTGTCATCGACATCATCCGCCCTGAGTGAGTAAGTGAGTGAGTGGCGGGGTCGAGGAGCGTGACTCGGCCACGCGCGGAGGGTGAGAGGAGGAAACGGTGCCCATGCCGCTACCCTTCTCTCGTCTCCCCCCTCCTGTGCCTCCTGGGAGGCCCTCGTCGCCGCTGCTGGATTCGCCCCAAAATTCTGGTCAGAACGTGCCCCAGGAGGGGTCTGGGGAGTATCGGTATCGGTATCTTTTGATTTCCCCAGAGCGTGCCTCGGCCGCGGGCGGGGGGGGGGACGGCTTCTTAGAAGCGCCCCTGCTTCTTTGAAGGCGCGGGCCTCATCTGTACACGCAAGGCCAGCGCCTTCCAAGAAGCAGCCTCCTCCTAAGAATCCTTCCCCCCTCTTACCCCCTTTTGCGCGCCGCCAAGCGAGCGACGCAAAACATGGGGTTCGTCTTTTCCGACATTGGCGCGCGTGATTTGCCCGCGTAAGGTCGCGCGTGAGCGCCTTCGTCTCCAATGTGGCGTGCCGCGCTGGCGGTCCGCGTAAGCTACGGCGTCAGGTCGCTATGTCATCTCGCGTGTGCCCCGCTTGTGATCGTTGTCTAATTCATTACTTAGCTATCGGATTCCCCAGTAGAGCACTGTTCCAAACAGTCGCATTAAGCAGAGGTCCGGAGCCAGATCCTCCCCCTCCCCCCCCTTCCGCCCAGTGTCGAAAACGTTCGCAATTTTCGGTCGTCGCTCAAGTGCCAGAGTGGCTCCAGGGGGCGACAGATCGGGTCAGGGGTCCCTTTCGGGGCCCTCCTCCTCCTCCTCCTTTTCCTCCTCCCTCCTCCTCCTCCCTCCTCCTCCTCCTCCTCCTCCTCCTCCTCCTCCTCCTCCTCCTCCTCCTCCTCCTCCTCCTCCTAGCCATTCAGGGTCTGGCACCTGCCGCCTCAGGGGCTGCTGGGCCGCGCGCGCGGCCCGCCCTCGTCCTCCCCTCCCTGCGCGCGGCTTTCGGCTTTCTCCCTCGTTGTCGCCATGGTCAGCGCCTCGCGGCTGGTCTGGATGGCGGGACAGCTCTCCGCTGGGCGGCAATGTCGCGTCCTCCTGAACTCGCACGCGGATCGCCTCGTGGTCCACATGGTGTTGCTCCTCGCCTACGTCGACAGGATGCTCAATACGATCGCTCTTGCTGTGGTCAACATGATGCACAACTCTCTTCACTCTGCCTGCGTCGTGGACCACGGCCACGGGAGTTCGACTGGCGAGGCGCACATCACTTTCAACATGAAGCGGCTGCACTTTCACACTCCTGCTGCTGAGGGTGCTTTGCTTCCTGGCGTATTTCACGGTGTGGCCCTATATGGTGAGGCACCTGGTGATCTGGAACCTGGCGGAGAGGGTCTTCATGGTGGGGTGCCCTCTGGAGCACGTCTTGGCGATGCGAAACATCACGGTGAAGATCGCGCTGGCCGTCCTGGCGGTGATCGCGGTGGCCTTCTCCGAGTCGCTTGCGGTGTTCCTCATGAAGGTGCTCATGCAGATCAGCATGGTGGTGAAGATGGTAGTGCCATGCCTTCTCCTGAAGCTGCGGGACGTGGTGACCTTCTGGGTGATGCAGGAGGTGTTAAAGATCGCGCCGCTCTTCCTGACGTTCTGCCTCCTCAACGTGGCGCTGATCCATGGCATACCTGTGCGAGCGACTGATGGTATGCGGCCGTGCCTCCGCGCAAAGACCCTCGGCGATATGAGGTGGCCCGTCCAACGTCCAACATGCTGAACTCAGCGGACCTCGCCACCATCGCGGCTCTGCTTGCTGGCCACGGTTTCGATCGTGATGAGCATGCCGATCGGCAGCCTGCGCCCTCTGTTGATGATCCTCGCGGAAACAAGCACCACGCACAATATGCTGGCGATCGCCTCCCTCTGGGAGATGGTCCTGCTGGCATCCAAGCTGGGTCACGCATGGAGTTGGACCAAGCCGACCTCGACGACATTACTGGCCTTATTTTCGACGCGAAGGGGATCCGCGATTCGATGACGGAGCTGGAGAGTACCCTGAGTGCCGCCGCTGCCCCCGCCGCCTCCTCTTCCGCCCTGCCTGCCGAACACGACACATCGGAAGTGTGCGCTCCTCCTCCTCCTCCTCCTCCTCCTCCTCCTCCTCCTCCTCCTCCTCCTCCTCCTCCTCTCCTCTCCTCCTCCTGCTCCTCCTCCTCCTCCTCCTCCTCCGCCTCCTCCTCCTCCTCCTCTCCCCTCCGCCTCCTCCTCCTCCTGGTCCGCTCCTCCTCCTCCTCCTCCTCCTCCTTCTCCTACTCCTCCTCCTCCTTCTCCTCCTCCTTCTTCCTCCAGGCGGTGGGGCCAGTCTTCTCTCAGCCCACTATCGCGCCCCTTTGTAGTGCCCTCGGGGGCACCCGGCGGGCAGGCGGTTACGGGCGGGCACCCGACCGCGGAGTTCCCAGCCGCGCGCGTCGGGCCGGGCTCCAGCCCTCGTCCAGCTCGTCCAACGGCCTCGTCGCCCCACGAGCTGAGGGAGGAGGAGGAGGAGGACGAGGAGGATGAGGAGGAAGAGGAGGAGGAGGAGGAGGAGGAGGAGGAGGAGGAGGAGGAGGAGGAGGAGGAGGAAAAGGAGGAGGAGGAGGAGGAGGAGGAGGAGGAGGAGGGAGGGAGGGAGGGAGGGAGGGAGGGAGGGAGGGAGGGACAACATGGGGTTGGAAGAGGAGGTTGCGGAATGAGAAGGGGGAACAAATTCGACGGCACGGCGTTTCGGCCTTCGAGGCCGAAGATGGCTGCGCCGCCTTGGCTGGGCCAGCTCCCCCCTTGGTTGGCTGGGGGGCGAAGAGCCGAGCACGCGGGTCGACAGTTTGAACACGCTCTGTGGCGAAACGGCAGGAGCAGAAGGGGAGAGGACAAGCAAGGTGCGCTCGCGTCATGGTCGACATCCCATCCCTCCCACCCATGCCTTCCACTTGCGCTGTTCTTCTCTCTGCCCGCCGATGGATGGCATAACGGACCCCCCCAGCAGGAACCCATCGTGTCATGCGCAACCGCAGCAGGGGTGCCGCGTACATAGAAGGAGGAGGTGGCGGATGAACAGGAGGCTGTGCAGGAGAAAGAGTAGGATGAGGAAGGAAGGCGAGGATAAATGGCAGCAGCAGGAGCAGGTGTGGGAGAAGCTGGAGGAGCAGGACGACCAGGGGAGGCGGGGGAGTGGAAATGAGCGAGCCGACAACGATGAGGAAGCACTCGGATCCAGAACAGTGGCTCACGCTGGGGGGAGAGCGCCATTCTGAACGACGGGAGCCAAGCGCCGATGCTAGAATAAGCCCAGCGCTTCAACGGGAGCACCGACTTGAGACACCAGAAATGCGCCGATTCGAGAGACCAGTGGGAACTACTACAGTTTGGGATCCTGTGTGCGGAAACAATACGCGGAGGCTTCCGAACATCTTCCGAGCAAAGCCAGGGGAGAAGGGACAACGTAGTGCTCTTGTTGAGAACGTGTGGCAGAAGGGGCAGCTGCATACACTGATAAGCACATGCTGGGGAGAAGGGTTTGCAGCAACGCTTCCCCACCTCCGCAGCCAGTTGCTTCAGAGTCCTGGCAGGGGGCCGTGCTAGCGGCACGCATTTGTCATTGTACACGCGTTGCGTCCACGGCAGAACTCATTGGGTGAACCATGTGGGCAGCCCTAGCCCTAAGCTGCGCCGCGTGTTGTTGCTGTTGCTGTTGTTGACGTCGTTGCTGTTGGTACTGTTGTTGTTGCTGCTGTGCTTATTGCTATTGTTGATGTTGTAGCTGTTGTTGGCATTGGTGTTGGTGTTTGTATGTTTGTTGTTTTTGCTGTTGTAGTTGTTGGCAGTGTTTGTTATTTCTTCACCTCTCTCTATATATACGTGTATACACATCGCTCTCTCTGTCTCTTCTGTTTTGTTTTCTCTATCGTTTTTTGTTGTTTTTGTTTGTTTGTTTTTTTTGTTGTTGTTGCTTTTTGACATCCCCCCTCTCTCTCTCTCTCCCCCTCTCTCTCTCTCTCGCAACCGCCGCGCCCGCCTTCCGCGCGCGCGGTCGGCGGGTTGCTCGCCGCGGCCCCCTGCGACAGGACGAGCTGCGCCCCGTCGCCATGGCGCTTCCGCGGGGGACTCTTCACGCCGTAGAGAGCCAGAGTGTCCGCTGCTGGACGCGGCGCCGCCCGAGGCGGACGCCGCCACTGGGCTGTCCCGAAGCCTTGCTCCACGCGGCGGAGTCGTCGCGACTTGCGGGGCCCTCCTGCGGGCGGGGGCTCTCTGCTGACAGCCCCCCTTGCGCGGTGCACCCCCTGCGGTGCGGGAGGGGACCGTTGCAGCTCCTTTTTGCAGCCTTTCCTGTTGTGCCATGACGGCGTCTCCACCATCATGTTTCCCGCGCCGTGGACGTAGGGTCCGTCTCGCCGAGCACGTCCTTGGGGCTTTTCTGGAGGTACTTCGCGGACAACCTCGGCGTCTGCTCGCTCGCGCCCGTTGAGAAGGTTCACGCTTTTGCGAACTGTGTCTTCGAAGCTGCCAGCGCGCGCGAAGTTCTGGATCCCGCCTCTCCATTCGCAGGCGATCTCGTGCAATCTTAGCTGCTCGGACACGCACGTCTTGAAACGTAACGCGCGCCTTTTTTTCAACACGCCCGTGGTCAAAAGGTACATGGTCAGTCGTCTACGTGTTGAGCCCCCTATCAATACGCCACTTGTTGCGTGCTGCGTACAGTCAGCGCGCCTAGTAAGGACGCGCGCCTTCATCTAGGGTGCCCTGGTGTCCTTGCGTCTGCGGCCCGTCCTTTGCCGCTCTCACGGGTCGCCCGCCACACGAAAACTCCCGATCTCGGCTTCCAAGGGTCTTGCGTCCTTGCCACCCGTCCTCAATACTCCAGATTTCGTAATAAAAGGGAGGGGGTCTCATTTCGGGGGGGGGGTCTCTTCCAGGCTATCTTGGAGGGCCTGGGGGGGTCTGGGGACGATGTTTTGGAGGGTTCTCCCACGGGGGGGGTCTAAAACTTCTCGTCTGGGAGGGTTGAGACCCCCTCCCTTTTATTACGAAATCTGGAGTACACGTTTTGGCTGTACGGGGCAGCTGAGCGCTCGAGTCGGGAGGAGGAGAGAGTGAGGAGGAGGAGGAGGAGAGAGGAAGAGGAGGAGGAGGAGGAGAGGAGGAAGAGAGGAGGATGAGGAGGAGTGAGGATGGAAGAGGAGGGAGGAGGAGGAGGAGAAGGAAGTGAGGGAAGAGGGAAGGAGGAGAGTAGATGAGGAGTTGGTGAGGGGAGGAGGGAGGTCCCCCCCTCGGCAGATCTCCGCCCTCGCCGAGGGGGGGCCCCGGGGCGAGCGGGCCCCGCCCTCGGCTGCAGGGGGGGGGGGGGAGGGCGGCTGCCGCCGCGGCCCTCGGGCCGGCTCGCGAAACTGCGGGCGACGAGGTGCTTCGATGCCCCCGTCACTCCTCCTCCTCGCGCCTCCTCCTCCCGTCCTCACTCCTCCTCCTCGTCCTCCTCCTCCTCCTCCCCTCGTCGCCTCCTCCTCCTCGTCTCCTCCTCCTCCCTCTCGGCTCCGCCGTCGTCCTCCATCCTTGCCTCTCCACCTCCCTCCTCCTTCCTCCTCCTCCTCCTCCGCCTCCTCCTCATCTCCCCCCCCTCCTCCTCCTCCTCCTCCTCCTCCTCCTCCTCGTTCACCAGCCTCGAACTTGTCCCCATCCCTAAGATTGGCACGCCAGAGGGCGATGAGAGTCTCAGGGATGCGCCCTTCAAAAGCCCAGGGGATCCCTGAGATTGGCATCGTGATGAGGCGATGCCTAGCTTAGGGATAGGGATATGTCCCAGGCTGATCAGTCGTCCACAGGACGCAGGGCTTCCTGCTCCCTCCTTCCTCCCCCCCTCCCCCCTCGGCCCTGCCTCGTTCGTGTCGTCGTTCCTCCTCGTTCCCCTTCCCCTTCCGCCCCCCAACTCCCTTCCCGTGCAGGACGCGTGGCCTCCTCCCAACAACAGTTTGCGCCGCCCAAAGGAGGTCAAGCTTTCCTCCTCCTGTTGTCCTGGTGCGTTTCCTTTTTAGGAGGCAGCGCCTCCTTCACGCGCCCTCTCTGAAGGAAGCAACGCTTCCTCGTGTTGCACAGTGCACGGTGCAGTAGGCACGGCCTCTCCCGCGCGGGAAAAGAACGTAGTGGCCGTTGTTACAAGATAGTCGTCGCTGAACATGTCGGTCGCTAAATTTAGCAGCCGGCGCTATATTTTAAGGAGCGCCTGCCAAGTAAGCATGTGCGCTATTTAGCATCCGATGGAAGTACCTGGCGTCGCTCCCGGCTCGCTGCCGAGTTGGCCCAGGGCCGACCGCCGGGGGCGGCCGCGGGGGCGGCGGCAGCGGAAGCTTGATCTGCGCAGCCGGCCCGGCCAGCGGCAGCACTGAGCGGAGCGCCCGCAGGGAGGCTTTGGACACCCGAAATGGGCACGGGAAGAATGGGTACGATGCCCAACAGCAGTTCTTGTTCCTTCTGAACAGGACTCGTGGTCCGCGCCGCCGCGGCCTGTGTCCGTTCGAGACAGGAGGCTGCCCGCCCAACAGCGGCCGCTGATGGCTTGGGACAACATTTGTTGTTGGGCATTGTGCCCATGCTTTCCGTACCCATTTCTCGGGCGAAGAGAACTATGCACATGCACCGATCCTGGCAAGGCCCACCCTTGACCCAGGATCGGTGCATATGCCTTCCTGGCCAAGGCAGGAGGGCGTATGCACCGATCCTGGGCTCAGGATGGGCCTGGCCAGGATCGGTGTATGTGCATAGTTCTTTTTCCTCTAATTTCGGGCGCCCGACGAGGCGCGCGAGCAGGGATGCCTGGCTCCGCCCCGCCGCCTGCAGCTCGGCGCGCGCGGCGGGCTGCGCCCCGCGGGGGGCGCGCCCGCGGAGCGGCCGCCTCTCCCTGGCCTCTCCGCCGCAGCGCCGCCGCGCGGGCGGCGCGCGGGCTCGGGCCCCGGTCCGCGGCCACCGCCTCCGCGACGTCTCAGCCACGCGCAGAGGGGGGTGGGGGGAGGGGGGAGGGCTTCTTTGAAGGGGCCCCAGGACACACAAATAAATACACACAAATAAAATGATTCCCCATTTTTTTT